GTTCGATTCCCAGTGGGAGCAGATTTTTCTGTTCGGCTTGGTTGGTGGTAGGGCTTGTTCTAAGTCCGCCTGGCTAGCTACCACCATCTTACCTAAGTATGTCGCCATAACAACAATGTTAACAGCATTGTTGTGTTCCGGCAGTTAGAGGTAAGATAGCCAGTTCCTCTGTGGTTGAGAATTCCTTCGGTCTGATCATCACTTACCATCAGGTGAGATACAGGCCAAGAGCTTCCTCGCTGTGGATAAAAAAAAATAAACATGACACCTACATGTTGTGAAGGTACATACCTGTACATACCCTTTACTTTTGGTATTGACTGTACCGCACAAGCTTCAATGAAATTAACACTAGGGGAGGTCAAATGCCTGCCTAAATACCTATCATTGTAATAAAAGGTAACATGGACATAATCGACTAGATAATAATCACCTCTTTCTCAACACGCTTAGAAAATAGCACTAGGTATATTTATTTCAATGCTAATCTGGTCTTTGTCTCTAAACGTCAATATTCAACAATGTATGTCATTATTTAATAACAAAACGTTGGCTATCATTATCAAAACAGCGCGCGCTGTGCAAGCGCAACTCACGACAATGGTCTGTTTCCAACCACCAATCATGCGGGGCTTATCGACTGACTGACGAGTAAATCGATACTCAATTATGGTGCTTAGACTCGGTTGCAGATACATTTACTACCGACGACTTGATATTTAACAGATCTGGTGGAAATGGGAGGTTTCCGGCTACTGGAACCAGAATTAACTGGGACCGCGGTCCCAGTCGCTGAACTTATAAAATTTAAATACTTTTCTTCCAGCGACTAGGACCACTCATAGATATGTAACTTAAAGAAATATATTATTCAATCTAAAATCGATACAGTACTAAAATTTATGAGTGGTCCCAGTTGGCGGAAGAAAAGTATTGAATTTTTACGGATCCGGCGACTGGGACCGCGGTCCTAGTTAATTGCGGTCCCAGTCGCCGGAAACCTCGAAAACGAGAAAACGTCCAAAAATATACGATATAGATCTCATACTACTACTACTTCCTCTTCTTTTATAAGTCAGAACAATCTGATATCAATTTAACCCTTAAATTGTTTTTGTCCGTTTTAAAGGACATGTCAAATAATTGCTTACAGAATCTAAATTAAAGCAATTTATCGACTTTCAAGGGATATTTTATAAAAAGCATGATATTTTATGTGAAACACGGGGCTGTAGTTCCATAAAAAGCCGCGAATTTAAAAAATAAAGACAGTTGAATTAATGCAACAGCAATGTCAAGTTTTCACTCTTGATAAATGTGGCAATACTGTAGGTATTACACTTGTTCTTGTGCTTTATTGATTGATTTTAGAATATTAACGAATAAAACTGACGGTTATTGCCAAAACTGTAAAAAAATATCGATTTTTTTCCATTCATTTCAAGATTACAAATGTTATGTCACTTAAAACGGACAATGCCATGTATCAGTAATAAATACTCATGTTGATTTTTAGACATTTTTACCCAATTTCCCCCTTTTAGGGGTTGAATTCTGAAATAACCTGAAACACGTGTTTACTAATTTATCGATAGGAATGTATCCTGTGAAGTTTTGAATTAAATAGTGTAACTAATTTTGTTTCGCCCTACAAACTTTGGACCCCCATTTCACCCCCTTAGGGGGTAATTTTGGAAAAATCCTTTCTGATAACACCCCTAGACCCTAATAAGGAACCTACATGCCAAACTTTGTATCTTTATACCCACCGGTTTGGAATTTATGTTGATAAATCAGGCAGTCAGTTTCTATTTTTATATGTCAGGGTATTTTTTGATAAATTTATTTAAAATCAACAGTAAATAGTCTAGATGGATTGCAAAAGGCGCTGGATTAGCCAGAGGATGATTATCAGGGATTCCTGTATTGTTATTCAGAAAAGTTGTTTTACGTTTGTTTTTCTAAACTGGCAATGTCCGCCCTAAGTGACATGGTTGTAATGCTAAATAATTGGCAATGTCCGTTTTGAGTGACATGTCATAACTTCTATACTAATTGAAATTTTTTCAAAAAGTAAATATTTTTTTCTTAATCTATCAAAACAATACCTAAATCCTAAATTTGACCATTTTTGAAGCAAGGGTTCGATGAGTGCCAATTTAAGGGTTAATGAGCTGCCACGTAAATGGACCGCGTGTGGCAACGGCCTAAAGTGCATTACGAAGTAAAGATTCAGATTTTTCAGGACAACCTGATTAAATTAAGCCTGCAGTCTCCTGAGCTCTACATTTCAGAACATAACAATTTATCATTTAAATTTCTGATGCGATAGTCTCATTCAATTTGATACACAACTTTGTGTTGTAGTTGTGTTGTGCGATACGATCTCAAATCAATCAAATGTTACAAAATAACACAACTTTTTTTAAATAGTTCTCAGTTAAAAATTACAAAATAAAAAAGTAAAATTTGTTAGATTCTCTAATCTACTTATTTTCAAATTCTTAAAACAATCATTTTCGATCGTTGAAACTAAAAGTACCTACCTACCCTTCACATCTTGTTCTTATGAATTGGGAAATATGGAAATGCCGCGAAAATGGCTCAAATTGGCGGCCATTAAACACTTGGTAATGTCAAGCTGTCACATTTCAATTGACTCCAATTGACTCTATTCACACCTGGGGCCAAGTGGAAGTTGCGAAAGTTTGTATGTTCTGGACAAGATTATCTACATAGTTGCTGGTATTGGTATTACTTAGTAAAATGTATTAGTTACCTAAAATGAAGACCACACGGGAAAAACAAAGAATGTCAAAAAACTACAATAAAGATAAAAACAGTTTTAAAGGTAGTTTGAAAATCTATATTATTTCATTTTAGACTCTTTTATGTGAGATATTGAAACAACTTATTACTGTGTTAACATATGCTTTGCCTGTACTTCTAAAACTCGATTTGTTTAAATAAGTTTTTAGTTATGCTCCATAATATAACCGTTTCTTGCCATGGACAAACAAACACAAATTGAACTATTACAGTTGACCACGACGATTTTACCCAATTCTGATTTTTGAAATATAATGTTTCCCTAAAAAGCTAACAGATGGCATTAAAAAGTAAGTTTCACAAAAAAGGTGACATTCATTGTTTTTCCCGTGTGGTCTTCAAATAATATTATGATAGGTACATGACTAGTTTGATTATGATTGACGTTTTATGCTATAGGATGCTGCTATGTCAAGCATAGCTTTCAAAATAAATTGCTAACATGACGATTACCAACGTCGGCAGTGAGTTGACGTATGTTGAAAACAATAATGACAAAAACTTACGACCAGCAAGTATAGGTTGTGTGGCATTACCTACTGATTGAGCATCAGTAAAATGAAGAGAAGGCGACGAGTGATTACTAAATTGAGGGCACAAGAACTTAATTACCCCACTTAGCTTGTACAACCTACTCCAATAGAATGAGATCTTTTAAAACATCTCGAACAAGGGATGCACTGTTTAAACGACCTGCAACATAGACAAATCTAAATTAATTTTTATCTGCAATATTATCAAAATTGCTATTTCTATTAGCAAAAGACTATGAAATATCATATAACTATTATTGTCTACAAGTGCTTTCAATCAAACTACGTTTTTGATTCTGATAAGCGCCCCCGGAGTTAGCCTTCTTTGCCTAGAACCGGTAAAAAACTGCGTTCACAGAATTGCACAATTGTCACTCACGATACCAAGAGAGAAAGTGATAGCAGCTTTTATATCTCATTCTGTCTGGGACGCAATTCCCAAAAAAAACAACTTCAATTTATTAGAGTCTGTCCCTTTTCTCCACTAGGTAAGATGCTGGAATAAGTGAAAGTTAGAACTCTACTTCGAAGTCGTTTTGCGATCGGCTGATCAGTGTGCAGTTAGGACACATGGCAAAAATTACCATAAGAATAGTGGGGTCAGCTGACGTACATGTATACCGACGAGAACAACCAATACAGAAAGATTTTATCAACAATTTAGAGCTGAGATGCAGATGAATACGATTTCGAATAAAACTCTACAATGAACTACTCTTATAGTTCCTGAATAATCTATATGGTATCATAAAGGATCTCAATTGAAGTACCTATATTTAAATCTTGTACACTACACTGACGCTACTCATTAAGTATTTATTTATTTAACGTTTGAGTTTAAAGCAAATATAAAAATAATAACTTTATTAGATTTTCGATTATTCCCTTTTAAAGAAATCTATAATTTATAAGAACTGAAAGTTCCCAAACAATTTAAATTCTTAAATTACTTTGTTTTGGGCTGTGGTCATGGTCTTATAGAAGAAGTTACGATTCCCTATAGCCGATAACATAATACCCCTAATAAAAATTCTACTCGCCGATGTTACCTCATGCAATGCGGAAACTAGGAAAATGCACTTTAACCAACTTTCCCTTTTATTGGGGAAATTACTTATTTCGATGTAATTAATTAGATGCAGAAATAATACTCTCAATTATTGAGTTTTATATTAGTTAACTCTACATTACTCACAAATACTAGACTTTAAACTTTTAAGAATGTCAATTCCTGGCAAGACAAACGATAGGTTACCTATCTATGCCAAAGTTTACTACACTACCTCTAATCTCCAGACTTTTTAAAATCATTGCCAGCCATCTCTACTTGCTTGTGGACAACTGGTGTCAGATTTCCTAATTATCGAAATAAGGTAATTCAATCGAAACTACTTTCTCCCCCAATCATCTGTGACAACCATAACTTTATTACGTCAAGACAAGTGATCGATGCAAAGAATACGCTTTGAAGTCGGGCGGTCGTGGACAACCCTGGTGAGATGGCCCATTATATTCTCAATTGGTAATTGAATCGAAACTGCTTTCTCGCCTAATCATCTATGACAACTGCTGGTTTATTACGTCAACTACGTCAAGACAAGTGATCGATGCAAAGAGGTCCGCTTCCGAAGTCGGCGGTCGGCGCGTGCGCATTCCGCCAGTCGGCGCCGCGCGTGCGTGTCGCGAGTGATGACCAGTGCTGTGTTGTGCTCGCAATCGAAACAATGCTGCTGTTCGTGGTTCGTAATTGTTTTTTAACTGAAAAAGTAATGCTAAGTTTTGCACGTAAGAGCCTTGCATCAAGAAAATCTGTGATAACTGTTTCCCGGGTTTATTCTGGGGGTGCATCAACCAGACAAATAATGACCTAATGTGTACCTACTCGTCATTAGGGCACTAATGCCCGTTTTCACCATCAATCCCTAATTTTAAGTGACCCCTATGGTAAGCCATAACAGGAATTTTGTTTTCATAGGGGTCACTTAAAAATTAAGGATTGATGGTGAAAACGGGCATTAGAACCTTAAGGTTGCCACGCCGAAGGAGGTCTAAATTATAAGGGAAATAAGGACTTGAGATGCTGCCAGCAATGTGCCTCATAATCACGTGTTTTCCAAAAGAGAACATTGATCAGAGTTAATCAGAGTCAAGTTATTAACTAGTGTTTTAATTTCTGTAAGAAGTTCGAACATACCTATACTGCTACTTATGTATGCCTGTTGCAGTACATAGGCCTTATGTGGCCATTGTTCAGTTTTCTTACTACAAAATCAAACATTTTTGTCAGCCTCTCAATGATTTGCAATATTTTGTATAGGCTGTTTAAGTCGCAACAACTTTTTTGTGCCAAATCAATTTCAAACGCTCCGTGAAATCACTTTTTTTATTTATGAACGACAAATTATCAATATGACCTTAGAAGCCTACTAAAAAATACAGAGCTCTATCCGATGCCAGTAGCATTGAAGAGTTTGCAAAAAACCATACTTAGTATCAAAATTGTGCGAACTTTTTCTATTATTTCTTTTATGAATACATTACCCATTATATGAAATCATGATCACTTTTTAATCTAACGTTCATAGATTGATCTATTAACCTAAATCTAGAAAGTTAATCTAGAAATTCATAAATGTCAAACCCGAGTAAGTATATTCCAATCAGTGAGAAAGTAAAGATCACTGTTACGCATGCGTTACAGAATAAGGTCATCGGCGCAGGAGACAAAAAGCACGCAGCGTGACAATCCGACCGAGGGTCCCGTAGATATAACAAGCTCTTTATTTTAAAAGAGCCAGTTAATTCTAATCTTAATCCCATCCTGGGAAGCTCACGACAAAACTTTCGCTCACGATGCTGTTTAACTTCTCAATATCTTTAATCTTCCTATTTATTTCCCTTATCGTGTTGGCATAACACTTTCTCTGTGGCCTTTTTCTTTGACTTTATTTCTTCCAGAAATTGTTATAATGCTTTTGTTCCCAAATTAAAATATGACAAAGTAAATCATATGTCAACAGTACGAATTTGTACAAAATATTGCTCTACATTTCTCTTTGTTTTATTTAATTAATCTCTTGAATTAACATTGTATCGTGTCTGAAAGTAAATAAATGATTTGATTTGATTTGATTTGATTCGTGGTCCAAACTTTAAGTTGCTAAACTAAACGTAAGACTTTCTGCATCATTGCACCAAACACACAAAGTAAACATTTCCATATTGCGTATAACTAAATCCAACTTTTTGTATTAGGGATCCCTATTTATACCCAAAACAAAACCGGTCGTAGACGGATTAAGCCACTCTCGCCTGCGGATCCACTTTAAATGGCTTTTCGTAACTTTTTAATACTTTTCGTTACCCGCACGTTGCTCTCAAAACATGCGCAAACGCATCGCTTACCTTGATCGAGATTTTTAAACTTGTTTCATTTGAAAAGGATAAGTATTTGGTTTGAATGAAAATCGGATTTTCTTTGTTTTTTTTTTTATGATTTCACTTCATTTAACCTAATAGAATCAAGTAAATGATTGAAGGGTATCAGTATTACCAGTATTACCTATTAAATTATATTTGTATTATTATTAAAGAGTTAATTTGACGATTTATGACTTACATTAATTTTTATTATTATTATTTTTTATATTTAACAGATTTAATTGATATTTATCAAGACAGTTAAAGATACTTCATAGCAAGTACCTAACGGAATTACGTCCGGGAAATCCGATCAGTATCCCAAGCACGAATAACTCTCGTAATAATATAGTAGGTAATTGTTGAGCTATAATTGTCATGAAAACAAACGAATTTTGTTATTAATTTGACTAAATAATGAAAAACTATGAATGTTAGCCCTTTATCAAAAGATATCTTTTTATCATCTACATATGCAAATTAATAACAAAATTAAATTAACAAAATAATCGACGGGTTCATCCAGTGTCTAAGTAGCTCAGTTGGAAGAGCAGGCGCCCGGTAAGCGGAAGGTCGTGGGTTCAATTCCCGTCTTAGGCAGTTCGATTTTCAAGTTATTTTTATTTTAAAAAAATACAAAATTATTTTCTCTTGCAAGCAATCGATTGTCAGGAAAACTGCAGCTCTACGATTGTAAACATTACTATACAATTATGTAATTATGTACTAATTATAGTAATAACTTACGAGAGTTGTTGATACATACAGGGGGTATGAAGACCAAGGCAGAACAACGTTTTCGGAATTGACCCAACAGTAATGGAATCTGAAACCCACTCCATTCAAGCTACCATTACGCTGCTGCTCTATAATGATATTTTTATGCTAATTGTGTTATGTTACAACGTAAACATCACGAACAAGACTCGGCAAACGAGATCACATCGTTACGACATCGGAAGCAAACCTCCGTACCTTGGCACCGTTGGCTTTGGCCCACTTCTGGGCCATGGGCCGAGTGTGGGAAAAACGTGATCATCGATGTATCAGTGCAAAAATCATTAAATAATTTCTGCTAATATTTACAATTAAAAACATAAACAACAGAATTGAGAACCTCATCCTTTTTGAAATTGGTTAACAAAGTTACACTTAAAATAAACTACGACTGTTTCGGTCAGCTTGTCTAAAAGCTCATTAAAGTTAATTATTTTGCTTTGTCTTTTGATAGACTTTTTTAATAATTTAACAATATAATTAATATAATTACACGAATTTACACGTTGTAATTACTTGTAATGCTCCATGCATTTTCATGTACCTAGTTACTTATTAGTAAAAAGTAAGTTAGTTACATGAACTTAATGTTTTGCTTAAAGCCTCAATGTTTTAGATTGATTCTTAATTAGTAATTAATTCAAAGTTTATAATATATCAATCAATATACTATACATCTCTATTATAACACAAACGTTATTACGAAAACAGTCAAATAACATTATAATTATCTCAATTCAAAGTAATCTAATTAACATTATAGGAGTAAGCTTCTAAAAAATATAATTCACACATAAGTACTTTGTTTCAATAAAACATAAACGAAATATATTCGCAAGCACACATTTGCAACATCAGTGCCACGAACAATAAAAAGTAACCCAAATAACTGACAGTTAACTTGCGGTTAAGCATGAGATTGTTCATCAGTGACAATGACGACTTGCAAAAACAATGCACAATGATAGTTCGGCTGATTATAATAAGATAATGATAATTAACTTGTATCTCGACATAATTGGGCTATGAGAGAAATTATTGTGCACGTGCGAAATACATAAGATTGATTTGAAAACCTTTCTTGACTAATAGCAGGTAATTAAACTTTATATCAGATTGACCTTCTGATTCTTTCAATGAAACCGTTAAGGTATATAAATATGAATCGGACGTATTAATACAATTGAGAATTAACTTCAATTTTCGTAATTTTGACAAAATTAAATATGCCACGTTATATTTTTATTTCTGTACATCATTATTCATTGCAGTAAATGTGTTCATATAAATAAAACACAAGCTATGTAACGAGTGAAATTAAAATTAGCATATCTATTGATAACATGTAAAACTTCTCGTTACCTAACGCGACGCAACCAGAATAGCCGTTATGTGTTACCCGACATACCCGTTACAATTTTGTTAGGTTTATCAATCGACAAATACCTATTTGTATCTCGCTCTCTCGCCAAATTAATCACATGAAGACTTTAATTCTCCTAAAAAACTCATAAAACTCATTTATTTTTGCAAATAGGCTTTTAAAAAGCACTTTTACTAAAATTCTACATTTTGAACATTCTGATCTTATCGTTATTAATCTCATACTTTAAATTGTTCACAGATACCTATCCTGCTCCTGAGCTCCGGAGTCAACTCCCAAGGCAACTACTATCCACCGAAAAAGTCAGCCGCTTCCGAATCACAAGTGCGCTTCGCAATAGAGAACAAATACGACGACACTGGCCCGGGGGCGAAGAAGCCCGAATTCGCGTACAAAACATACAGGACGCTAGAAGAAGCGCTGACTGGATACCTGGATGACCCAGACACAAAGCTGCCTAGACACGAGCGAGCGAAAGCTGAGCAGAAGTTAATAGGTTCCCAGAAACTGGCATATCGTCAGTTCAGCAAGGAAATGCCAGTGTTCCCGAATGCGCCTTCTTTTGGCAAGAACCTATACAATTCTGACGTGAGCGTTCAAGTGCTGCATCCAAGCCACCACCAGCAGTTGGGGTACCTGAAGAGTATCGAGCTGGAGAAGCCCAAGGATCCCTTCAGGTTCCACAAGCTGCAGGCGGTGAAGGGCAGCCCTCTGAACCTGGCGCACTTCACCAGGGACGCGCAGGCCGACCACGAGTTCAACCCTAACCCGCAGTACACCTTCTCTTATGGCGTAAATGTAAGTAAACCTTATACTATTATACCTATTGATACACTGGTCATCACAAAAATCGACCCTCCCGCGACAAGCACTTTCAAACGTATGCATCCCCACTTCCCACCAATATTGGCACCATTTAAAAGCCTAGTTCTAAACTTCATTTCATTAAAGGAAATGTTTTACCCCAAAAATGTGTCTGTAGAAGAATCCAGAGTCACTTCTTCAAAAAATAGGTAGTTACGCTTGAGCCAACTTTTATGGCTATAAAACTGTTAAGTTGGGATTAATCGCTATCCATCTGTTTAAGAGGACACGTGAGATCATTATTTGGTTTTATAACCATAAAAATTGGTTTTATTGATCCCAGAGGTGAGCCCAAAGTGAGGTCTTTTTTCAAGTCACATTTATTGTATATCGCGTTTATGTTAATCGTTTATTAAGAAATTAAATGTGTTTTTCTTTAAGGATATTTATTGGGCTTTCAAATAACACCAATATTGTTGGGGCACCATGATTGTGTCAGTAGAAACGAGTTTTCCTGTAAAACGTAGGTGGGCCGATTTTTGTGATGACCAGTATATTTCTCTCCTCCTTTATAGAAGTCCTAGGTCCCCCAAAGCAAAAGCAATTGAATATCCCAGCAGTGGACGTTCTTTATTTAAACTGAACGAATGAACTAGACGTAATCCAAGAATCAAGCTATGATGACCTAATTGTTAGATTATCCAGCCTAAACTAAATCGTAGCAGTGCAAATATCAGAACACTTATCCGAACAATAATGTCATGAATCTTTTCAAATCAAGAGCGAATTAGGCACCTACTGAGAACTAGGTACATCTACACGTACCTTTTTTTATTTTATTTTAGATGGTAAAAATGCATGCAATGAGATTGCGGTGAAATACCTGGCCATAGTTGAATGGAATATAAATAGTTAAATAAAAAATATGTTAGAAGGTTTCAATCAGTCTGAAAGGATAATTGAACCATATAATTAGTCGGTCTTTCTAAACTCTTCCTGCCTTCCGCTTGCAAAACCTATTGTTTACGCGTTGTTGTGATTGAAACTATTCTTGCATATTTCCAACAATGGCGTTTGTTTTGATATTGTCTTGATAAATAGAATAGAAACGGAATGACTGTCGAGTGTCGGCATATTTTGCAAGTTTGTATTTATTGTAAGGCTGCTGCCACACAATATGCAGGTGTATTTTTTAAAATTGATGTCGACAAAATAACAAAAAGTTGACTTTCACTTGTTTTTTATTCACATAACAGTTATCAGGGATTTCTCGAACGAGTCCCATCAATAAATTAAAAACACAAAAATGTCCATTTAACGTAAATGCGCCTATTACCGCCAGTTTAAGCTGACTTCGGATAAACGTTAGAAAATTAGATATAAGACGTGGTGATAGAAAAGACATTTTAATTTATTTATAACAATGATGAAGTAATCTTTGAATTCAAGTAGTAACAATGAGTATTCAATCACACAATAATTAATAAATAGCAATTTAATCTGAAAAAGCAGTTGTTTCTATTACCGACCTATAGACGAGGTGTGTTTCTATTAACGTTTTTTCTGTTTCTATTACCGACCGCTAAGAATATTGCTCTTCAATTGGGTATATTCCAAGAGGCACGGGTTCGATTCCTACTATACCACTTGATTTTTTCAAGTTAAATTTGTTTTGCTTTTAAGGCTTGAAATTTATTGAAATCCAATTTAGTAACCCTGTGGTACAAATTATCGAACCGGTTGGCTAAATTGGACCGAAGCTCTGAACTCGTACTTTGTTGATTTGTGCTAAATATACAACAATCATGTTAATTAATACTTATGAAATAGTAAGTTGAATAATGTATCTTTTATCATATACCATGGACATTAGCAAAAACAAAAGAAAACTATGTGTAAAATGGGATTGAAAAAAACTGGTCCAAATTAGCGGACTCTCCCTTATGATTTGTTGTCGTCTGTACCTACCTACTTATAATTTTATTATTATGTCCTTATGTAGAGCTGCTAGGGCGTAGCTGTATAGTTTATAAATTGGAGACGAATTATAGGTAAGTGCCATGAAAAGGAACTAAAAACCAATTTTAATTTGCCTGAAATTCGTCTTTTCATCAATTCTGTTGAACCCTATTTCTTCACAGCTCAAGCCTTTCTAAAATAGGGCAAGGAAGCTGTGTGTAACGAACTTAAAAATGTAAGGTTACTAGCATGCGCTCGCGCGGTGGAGTGTGACGAAGGTTCGCTTTCCACTGCAGTACACATCGGGTCTAAAGCCTGGTCCGTGAGTACGTAGAATTTTGTCCAATGACCCCAAGCTACCCATCCTTATCGCTCGCGCGTAATTATATTGCTGTAGCGACTGTGCGACGGGCGCCCGCAGTGAGTGTGCGAGCGCGACAGCAACATAATTACGCGCGAGCGATAAGGATGGGTAGCTTGGGGTCATTGAACAAAATTCTAGGTGCTCACGGACCAGGCTTTACAATAACGATTTCAAAGTATCGACTCTCTCAGTACTTTTGTAGCCAGTCAGCTTTCTAAGGTGTCTGATACAGTCAGACGGAGTGATATAGCGTCGTAATTACCCACTGATTCCCCCGCGCCAGTCGGTACGCAATTTCATGCATTTCCTGATGAAAAAAGAAGTAACAAAACAGAATAATAAGTATTAATTGGTAGGTAAGAGATTATCCTTGCTATACGGTATTAAAACATAAAGATGTGACCAACAAAAATAACGAAACTGGCATTAGACGATTCTTCAAGTCTTTAGAAAGAGAAGTCGTCACATAATAGCAAGTTGCAAAGTAATCAATCAAATAATGTTATGTCCAGCGGTGGACAATGGACATATTTGGGAAATGGCGCTTTTCGATATCGACACACGAGTGATCGTTTAGCAATCGTTTCGACTCTTTATCGACCAGCAGTATCCACCTTCGTTGGGACACGCTTCCCGGATGCACTCGATTGTTCAATCGACGAGTAATTTACACAATACAGGTTAATTAATTATGGATTGTAGTCTTTTTATACTATAAGTAGATCATTTAATAATGTATTTCAGGAAATAAGGTAATTCTGTCAAGTGCGTGCCTAATTTAATTTATATTTAATAATTAATAACAAGTAGTAGTTCATATGGTTTACAACTATAAAATACGAGCATCTACCTACATAAAATAAGTATGTAATTGATAGGCTTTGTTTTATGAGTCTTTATGAGTCATTTGGGATGACCTTCATGAATAATTTTATGTAAATAAATGTACGCAGGTAGTTTTGGTTTAGTTCATTTCTATAAAAACGTCCTTCTAAAATACAGGCTGTTTTAAATAAATCAGCAATACTAGTAATATTTGTTACATAAAAAGAAAAATTACAGAGTTAAGTCATTATCTTTTGTGTTCACGCAGTTTTACCTTTTTCCTTCGCAGAAATATTTTAAAATAATCTCCGAAAGGCCATTTTATGATTTCATATCGTAAAATATACTTTAAAACTCCTGCACATCAGTCGTCTGCGAGTGAAAGTACCTACTTAAGTCAATATTGGTTTTTGTTACCGCGAAAGTGCTAGCCTCAGCCGTTGTTCCGACTGGCCTGATTATACCCTGGGCCCAGCAAAGTGGTTCCGTGCATGCGTGCTGTGACGTCAGCACTTTGGTGCAATAACTTTCATTGGCCATTACAGGGACACGCTCTGTGGCTTACAATGAAAAGAAAATAAGATTTCAGTTGTGACTTTAGTTGGGCCTTGGGCATAGGTATAGTTCAGCAAAATTAAAGAATCTGTACATGCTACGAACTTTTTATAACTTACAATAAAACATTTCAATTGTTTTTTTGTAATAGGAATAATAATTTACTTTTTAATACTATTTTCCTTAAAACTATTGAAGTGTAGCGTTGAATGGCTCAAAGATAAATTAGGACTTCGTCGAAAATTACATAATATTTTTAAATTGTTGAAAAAAACGGTGTTAAAATCAGATAATTTAGTTTACCCAAGTAATTTATACATCCTGTATTTTATTTTATCTTTAACACTCGAAGTTTTAAGGTAACGGTAACCTTTCGCTGCGCGTGAGTTCATTCATAAACTAACTGTGGATTCAATCAAAACAATGGAAATACGTACAATAGATAGGCACGCCCCGCTTGCTATAAAATTAGTGGGTTGAGTTAAATACAGTGATTTATTGAAGGCACTACGATTATAACTCAGTAATCGAACCTAAAATTACCAATTACCTACCTACACATTACTGATACTTAGTAACAAGACCCTATTTCACGTAAGTACATAAATAATGGTTACCACCTAAGTGCTTCGTTATGAAATAAGCAGATAGGCATGAATTATGTTTTCCACACACTGTAGTTTATTACACACGCATCAAGCCTAAAATGCTCTATGTTATAATAATAATAATAATAATAAATCTTTGGACAATTTCACACAGCGCCAGCTAGCCCCAAAGTAAGCAACTTAATGCTTGTGTTATGGGTGCTAACTTAACGGATATACTACTTACATACTTTTTTTTTTAAATACATACATATCATACATAGTCACACCCAGACCCGTCACAGAAATTAAAATTCATCATTTCAATTTCTGCCCGGCCGGGAATCGAACCCGGGACCTCTCGGCATAGTAGTCCGTTCTGAACCACTACACCAGACGGCCGACCTGAATAATGAAAATCGTTTTACGTTTAATATCTAACGCTCGTATTCACAACATTACTATGAGGTCTCACAGTGCTCGTGGACGCACAGGGCACGCACACACGCACCAGTCACAGAGCTCTATTCAACGCTGTGAGTTCGATTTGCTGCTTCATTTAAGCAAGTATCGATAGTGAATACGGGTGTTAGATATTTTATACCTAAGTAAGTAATAAGTATACCTATCGCAGAAATAGTAGGAATAGTTTGGTGTGATTATAACCTAGCTACTAAACTGTGGCTATTTAGTATAAATACACATTGCCTTTCATAAAACGTTATTTATAATGTCAGTTAACAACCTTAAATTATTTATGTTATTATAATACAAATTATTTTAATGGTTATTGTTAGACTGTACGTTCGTTAATGCCATAAAATCTACAAACTCAGAGGGCCAGTGAAATTAGATCGTGTACTCGTAGTAGGTAGGTAGGTATTAGTCCAGACATTTGGTAGTTTTACCTGGAAAGTTTTCCGGGAGAAATGAAAATTCACGTACCAATTTTCATTGCTCCCGGAAATCTTTCCAGGTAAAGCCATTATTTTGTACCAAATGACTGGAATATTACCCACATTTAATTTATGAAATACACTATTTGTAAATAATTTAGCAATAATGCCCGGATATATTAACAACATATCGCAACCTGTGTGGGCGTGCTATAACATTTCAGCACGACATCGATACAGACTGACATTGATACGAGTATCGATAGAGATTGACTTTGACATTGATTGTTGCCTATCGACAACATTTTATTTTATCGGTTGTAATCGAATATTTGTTTTCGCTCATATTTCATTAAGGTTAAAGTAACAATAAAAATGAAGGCTCTATTTGTAATTAATACATCGTTATGAAATTTTTGACTGGCAATCCAAAATGATTAATGGTTTATAGGCTTTTTAATTACATTGAGCAAAAGAAAATGAGTTCATTGTCCCGTTTCACTCTCAGGAAGTAGGTATAAGTTGTGTTTAATTTTATTGAGTTTTCGTTGTGCCTCGATTTAAATGCTTAGATTATTGTCTCACTTCCAAGCAATTATAATTTAAAACAAAATATGCTCACGACACTAATCATTGTCACGGACTCAAAATAGGAAACTACATTATTGTGTAAATAAGTAAGTAGCCGCAAGTTATTATTCGAAAGGGTTCGATAATAACTATATGTAGTTTGAACGTGTGTTGGTTGTGTTGAAATCAATTAATAATTAACATAAAAAAGCACCGGATAATGTTACGGTTACGAGTTAAATATGGTGGTGCAACTCAGCCTATGTCCTGTAGAGTCGTGACACATCACTTCAAGATGTTATTATTCACGTTTATCGAGTTTATACTGTTTGTAACATTAAAAACTAATAATTCGTGGGAATTAATAGAGCATACACACTCATTTAATCAGTCAGAACATGTATACTGCAATCACGCAAGTATTAATTACTTCGTTTCGTATTTGCAACTACAACTTTGTTTGCAGGAACCTGCCTGGCGTCCAAATATAGGTATTTTTTATTATTTCATTTTTATTTTTTAAGCATACAGCTTGTTCATTTGGCTTAACATAATTAGTAAATTTAACATCAAAAAATATTTAAATCATCCTCAATTAAATTAGTCAGTAATAAATTAAACTGAATTAAAAGGTTACAATTACAACTATTGCCTGATTTTTACGAACATTTTCGGCATTTGTTAATCAATATTATTTATTATTATTATAACGAGAAAAATACGTGCCTGCTTTGGCAAGCAGGTTGGTACCTAGGTATTGATCCGGCAAATAATTATGAAAAAAAAACGTAATATGAAGGATATTGACCGGCGAAGTTAAAATTAATTAAGTCTCCGCAGAATACTTCAATATAAACTAAGCCCTTATATCTACTATAATAAACTTACTTACAACTTTTACTTCTCCATACCAACTCATAATTTGCGTGCCACACCTACAGCAGTGACGAAAGCAATATCTAGAGCATTACTCGCCATTAATTAGTCATCTCTTATAAAAATTATTCAGCTTACAACACCAAATGGATCAATGTCAGCGTTTAAACGAGTGTACCCATGACTTAATTATACATCGCGCATTCCAAGCCAAGCTAGAGTTGAATGATTGAGCTTGAACGGCAATGTGGAGGCAAGGTGGAGAATGTGGCCGCGTTTCATTGCCATGGTAGGAAGTAACGCAGTGGAGGTGTGGTCGCGTCGTTATGCAACGAGTATACTCCGCTCCGGAGTTCGCACGTTACGCATTTAAAAATCTCTGGGAGACAATTTTATAGATTTATCTTAAGGTGAACTTGGTCTCGTTTATTAATGTAAAATGACGATATTAACGAAATAATCGTCTGAAAAACTGAAATTAGTTTTATTTATAACCTTTTTCGTATTGAATTCAAACAACAACAACAACAACTCAAAACGTAAAAATAAATTGTGATTCAGTTTACATTCATTGAAGAACTAAACTAAGTCAACATTTTTTTTTTTACAAAATTTTATATTATTTTATAATAACAAATACACGAAGTTAAGTTACTAATTATCCAGATAGATGAAAGATAAGTTCCTACTAATAATTGTTTTCTATCCAAAATTCCAAACTTTATTTCATAATCCCGAGTATACCCATTCATTACATTACTCCCGCGCACCGCGAAACTGTCTCAAAAATGCGCAAACGCACCGCAGAGCGACCTTGCCGCGGTCTTGTCCTCTAGACATATAATATGTTTTATCGTCAATCAATAAATTACCTATGTACCAAAAAGGCTATAAGTTATTTTCACGACAGTCAGAACTTTTGATATTTTTAGTTTGGACATAGTAATCATAGGCATTTATGGATAGAGTTTCAAATTACAACTCATATATCACATAATACCTGTTTAATAAGGAAGTAGAGGTCACAAAACACCCACTAGACACAAAAGCATTCCGAAACACTACAAAAAAATAATGAAATGAAAAACAATTCATAAATTCCGAGCACTCAATAAACTGTGAAGTTATTTGCATTAAATAATTTAGTAGCAAACAAGCCAAAGCCATAAAATAATATCAATTAATAAGGAAAAAAATATGTCGTACTTTTTTTGTTTCAATTTTTTTTTATGTTCAAAGATATTTTTAGTAAATCGTTCTGGTATTACAAAATCGGTACCCACATGAGTTCTCAATTTGCAAGTGTAGACCCCAAGGTCGCAGAAGGTAGTGCCAGATTACAATCGCGTACGCACCGCGCCATGATACCTTCGCCAAAGCTTAAAGCACAAGGCACATAGTGAGCTATGATATCTTCAGTATCTTACAGCGTAGAAGCCTATGCGTTTATTCATTCTTACGCACCACACTAAACTAACAAAAAGAAATACAAAATTGAAACGTTACAAATTAAGCGATCATATCGTTCGGAAGTTATCTCTTCCAGCCAGACAAACCAGAAAAATAGTTTAAAAATGGGAAAGCTGTAATTGATTAGTAAATGTATAATTTTTATAAATAAATAAAATACTTAAACCATAATTTCATGTAGGTATACACTGACAAGAGAGTTGACATAGCTCAGAAGAGATATCTCTACAAAGCAGCTTCAGTTTGCGAGCGGATTAAATAAATAAATATCCTTGGACATTTTACACTGCGCCTCTAGTCCCAAACTAACCAAGCAAAGCTTGTACTATGGGTACTAGACAACGGATATAAACCATACTTCAATACTTTAAATGTAGAATTTATTGAAATATTTCCGCTAGAAGCGCTCTGCATTCAATTCAAGTGCGGAGTGTAGAGCTAGAGCCTAGCTTGCAGTGTGTACTAAGCATTATTATTAATTGCATGCCTTTTTACACGTATTTAGGTAACATTGTGAAGTTACGGTATTATAATTAGATTGGAATATGTGTTTTTTACAGACTTCACAGTTTGCTAAGTGCGTAAATTGGTTTTAGTTATGTAATGACTACCCAATGGCTCAGTGCAGTGGCCTTGAATAATGAAATTGGCTGGTCCCAAGTTCGACACTAGCTTAAATCAAGTCAGAAAACTATTTGTACGATCTTCGAACGTACAATTAATTTAGGTTGTTTATGTCAGCAATACGCGCCGACCGCGGCGCCGTGGCATCAACTTACAGCAAACTTTATTTCGATAATTCATTGATTTTACATTTAGTGTTTATTCGGTCCCCAAACGAACCACGCATAATCACTCATACTCTTTTCACCATTTCGCACCATTTTAACCTAAGTAATTTAGAAACAGTGGCGGCGTAGCATGGGTTGGCACCCGGGGCGATAACACCCTCCCCCCCTCATAAGTCCTATGACATGACACCCCCTGGTACCCCCAGGATTTCGGGTTACCTACCAACCTACCAATTCGAAGATTGAAAGACAATCGCACCCCCCCCCACCCCCCCCCCCCCTAATCCAAAGTCGATCTAATCCAGGAACAACATAATAGATAGAGGCTCTATTTCATGTTCGTGGCGACATAAATATCATTCAAATTGTGAATGTTTGTCACGCCTATGGTTGTCTATTCAGCAAATATACACTTGAACTCTGTCATTTTACTGTCGTTAGGCAAATCGATATCCGTCTTAACTAAATGTTAACAAAACAAACAGTAAGTACAAGAATAGACTGTCCAGTACCCCCGGAAGTGGCAGTACATTATTCTTACCAGCCACGGTAATTATTCATGCACTGGTTGCTTTATTTTTTCCAAAGGCGACTTTTCCTTTCTAATAAATGTGCTATGACAAAGCTGTTTGAGTTCCTGGATTCCGTAGATTGCCTTTTTATGACGATTGTGTAATTAAAACGCCAGTCTATGTAATTAGCTACTTTTATATCGAGAAACATTATAATTACTTACAGGTTAAAAAAGTCCTAAATTAATTGAATGTCAACGGACGTACGAGTACATACTCGTAGTGTATGGTAATGAATTCCACGACCACTTCTAGGCTATTGTTGTAAACCTTCTCCTAGCATAAGCATTTATTTAGCTAAGCTAGAAGGTTTAACGAGATAATTAGTCATTTGCGCACGGCCAATTATGGTGGAATAGGAACCTAACGATAACAACTGTTATTTTACCCTACTCCCAAATTATATTATTTCATATCCATTTTTGTCAACAAACAATAACAACTGACTATATTGCAGTGCTTCATTCCAACCTCATACTAAATTCCAAATATCTCTATTTCCAGGACAAACTGACCGGCGACTCCAAGTCGGCTCACGAGACCAGGGACGGAGGCACTGTCCAAGGGTTCTACTCCTTCAGAGACGCTGACGGCAAGCAACGCACAGTCCAGTACACTGCTGACGATAAGCGAGGCTTCCGCGCCATCGTCAGGCGGACTGACGACCATAGTCAATAAGCCAACAAGGGCTAGTCAGTATTCGGTACGCAGGGATCAGCATCACCAAGACAGCCATATTTTGTAAGAGGAATAAGTTACCATAAAGACATGAATCATACAAGCACTATGTAAGATTAAAGCTTTAAATAATGCTGTTAAAAATTAGACCTTGAAACTTTTGTGCAAAGCATTTTAGGATATTAATAAAAACTAAAACAACTGCAACAGCACCAAGGAAACAGACCTTGATGCCTTTTAAAGAAGACGCTACTCCCACACTTTAATAAGGTAATAAAACTCGACCATGGTTATCAAATTCAAAAGGAATCTAATGCTCGTATTCACAAACCATGTTTGCTTAAGTGAAGCAGAATATCGAACGCACAGCGTTGAATAGGGCTAGTAATGTTTGTGAATACGGGCGTAAAAGAAATATATCAGGGTCTATTCTCAACATGGTCTCAATTTTAACGGTGGTTAAAGTCCTTGTCAACCTATCTATACAGTGTTTAATGCTGATAAATTAAGAATCATTGCACTGCTATTAAGTAATATCCAAAAAAAACCCACCAAGGTATCATCCATCAGTTAAATTATGCAGAACAAAAAAAAATAGCACGATACAGTTTTTTATGCCGCTTATTGAGGTAACGCTATACGAAGCGAAGAAAGGTAGTGAAAACACAAGAAACACTTGGAGTTAATTATTCTATACCTAGATTGTTAATGCCAAAAGAAGTTTTATAAAAAGCACTCGGTAAATTAAATTAGACCTCACAATATTTCAATTTTCTAGTAAATTTATAAGTTTTTTTTTTATAATTCATACCTTTGTAAATAAGAACTCATAAAACTAATTTTATTTTTGCAAGCAGGCTTTTAAAAAGCACTTTAACGATAAGAGTATCCTTTGTAAATATCATAATCCACGAATTTTTTTTCGATATAAATCAAATGAAAAAAGTAAGTCATGAAAATCTACTCAAGGATTGTATGTAAAAAAAACATATGTAAAGAAGGATCTTTGGTGCTACGTCGTAGCTCTCGTAGTTGCTACGAGACTTGCTCCTTATTCTTCTTTAGACTACTAAATAATATTTTTAGATCTAATTTAATAAAGTAAATGTTGTTAAAGTTCCCTTCAAACTGTCATTTTATGCAAGACGTAATATGCGTTTGCAAAATGGCAAAAATTAAAATAATTAATTCGATCCGTTGTAATAATTGTATACCATACATTTTTATATCTCAACAATGAGATTATCTACATTATTGCCAACACCCCTTAGACTCTACCTACATCTATGTAAAGTTTGTTTTGAATATTAATATATCACACGAACAACGAAAAAGCTTTCTTTTTTCGCAAAAGTATAAAATGTAGACCAATCACAGGACGGAATCTATGACTTAATTAAGTACCTATTGAGTTTTAAACCAAATTTCAAAATAAGAGAAGAATGCCTAGGCAATAAAATATCCCATAAACAAGACAATGTAGCAAAGACTACATGTCAGATTTATTTAAAACAAAATAGTATACTCGTACCTACTTAATACAGAATACCTATAGGTAGATAGAAAATGTTGCAAATCAGTATAAAGAATATTATAATTCAAAAATCCATACCTTGTAGGGTAATTTTACTACATTGTTTTTTAATTAATAATTGTATAATTTGTCGAAATCGTTAGCAAGTGATGAAATATTATATTTGTAAATAAAACTTTATTTACGTACTTCAAGTAAGAATAAATTTTAGATAAAATGATAATTTAGTCCTAAGGATACCTCATTTTTATACCGAACATAATGCCATTAAACTTAAATTAAATATACTTGTAGTGGTTTTATTTCTTTTACCTCCACCACCTCCACAAAATGTAGCGCTACATAGTATGATACTACTAATTAGTGTCGTCCCTTTTCTGTCTGTAATGTTATTTTTCTCACAAAATTAGAGAATAATTCAGTATTAAATATGCATTTAGTTTAAAATAAATATTGAGTACCGATTTGAGCTTTACGATCTTCATCAAAGGTTCTCTCCCGATGACGCTAAGCATCATTATTATCTTAATATTTTATTAGTTCTCTACTTTTTATAAGGTCCTACAACAGAGACTAGATAGCCCTATTTATTTCACGCACCACGTATTATTTTTTACTTAGTAACAGAATAGAAAAGAAAGTGCGCTTATATTCGTATTTTCTGCGAATACGTCATGTCTCTACTTAAATTACTTAGGTACTACTTGGAAAATTCTGGATATACATTACTTTAAGTGAAAATTAGCCTGTATTTTATCAAAATGTTGAAACACGCTGTTCCACGCAGAGCCAAGTGTAAGTAACTGACAACGCCTACTCTGGTTGCTGCGGCAAAAACACTGCGGTAATATTTTTTGCCCTTTCACTAAGCCAATTTAGTTGTTGCTTCATCAGTCCTCATGACTTTGTAAACTTTATACAAAAGATATGGATTATTTTACTCTTAATACTCAAATGATACGCAGTTAAAATGTTTAATAAAACTTAGAGCATACTAGAAGGGCCGATGGCGTTTATGCATGAACCTACCTAAATAATTATGGTTTATTCATGAAAATCGGTACTACTAAAGTAGGTACATTTAACAACTGTCGTCAACAAGTAAATCTTTTTTCGCCCCGCCCGCTCTAAATGTCACCCCTTTTTAAAGCGTCACCCTTAAATCTTGAACCAAATGTGAGTTACCACTGACAGGTGCACTCTATGTACGGAGTGATCTTTAAATATTAAATGATTTCATGTTCTTCTGGTGATTACTGAATATTTGGAGATAAACCTGAGCATACTTTATAAGAATACAACGCCTATTTTTAAAACAAGTTACTTAATATACTTAATATTTATTCATAAAATGTACCAAATTTTTTCGTTACGTAAACTTAAAATACTGTATCATAATAATATATTTGTCGATAATCACTAACAGGCCGACCTGATAGATAATAATTAGAAATGTGAAAATAAACGCTACGACTGCTTACATAGATATAATTTTTGAAATCTGCGAATTTACCCCACCTGGTGCAATATCCTTAAGCTCATCTATCTGATTTAACATTAATATTGATTATTATTTTATCTCAAAAAAATATTATTATCTGCCAGTAAGATCATCCATCAATAATACCTATGCTAGCCGAAATGTATAGGTATATCGGTATACATTTTTGATGCAAAACAACACTAATTACGAGTATGTACCTACTAGACACCACAAAATATACACTGGACCGAAAGAGGATCGATTAGAAAATGTTCAATATCTTCAAAAGTTATACCTGACCTAGCTTTATGAAATATGGACTTAATTAATTCAAGCTTTTAATAAATAAAAATACAGTTTTTTCAGTATGTTTTGTTTCATAAAGCTAGGTCAGGTTAATTACCTTTGAAGACAGAAGATTTTCTGCCCGCCCCTTTTTCTTTGCGGACCGGTGTATAATAGTGGTGTTACTTGAATTAAGCAGCTCGCATATTAGGATCATGGTAAGAATACCACAGACATTAACACAAAGGTCGATATTCAAATGAGTAAGTATGAAGAATTCGAGTGTCCAAAACTTTTTGCCATCTCAAGATGTCACGGCGTAAAAGGGATCCCATCAAAAACAATACTTGTCAAAAAAACCAAGTCTCGCAACTCAGTTGTTCTACGGTAAAAAGTTGTGAGATCCATGTAATACCAAGTCCAGGCCAGGAAATCTTTAACGTTTTACATAAATTATTGACTTGGCCATCGCACTAAATAATTTAATTTACACGTGTTTTCATGCGATGGCCAAGTCAATATATTTATGTAAAACGTTAAAGATTTCCTGGCCTGGACTTGGTATTACATGGATCTCACAACTTTTTACCGTAGAACAACTGAGTTGCGAGACTTGGTTTTTTTGACAAGTATTGTTTTTGATGGGATCTCATTTCTTTTTGTATTTTGTAGACAGCAGTTATGTATCTAGAAAACTGGACCGAAATTGAAAAATTTTACTCGACTTGGCGGTTGCACTACCGTGCCCCCAAATATTTTAGTTTTTCCTTGATTCATACACCAAACACTACTTATATTCCAAATTTGAAGCTTCTAGGTCTGCTAGAAGTGCCTTAGAGTTTTGATGATCGGTGAGTCAGTGAGTCAGTGAGTCAGTGAGTCAGTGAGTGACAAAATTAAGTAACTTTGACCCGTTATAATTCTTAAACTACTGGTTCAAATTGAATGAAATTTTAAATATACCGTGTCTTTACAATGCCTGCATAGCTAATGAAAATTCAGCCTTCTAGTTTTATCCACAACGAAGTTACAGGCGGTCGAAAATGGCCTGAATTGCTTCGAGAAAAGGATGGTACGGCCGTGCCGCTTTTTTGCTCGACTTGGTGGGGGCACTGCCGTGCCCCCAGATTTGTTAAACATCGGGCTACCGTGGCTATTGTTGTACAGAACCCGGATTAGGACATTGATACGTGACGGGACACGCATTGTTGTGGTTTGTTTGTTATGTAAACGATACTTCGGTTTAGCTTGTTTTTTATTGAATGATCTGCTTAGTTGAAGATTATGCCTTCAGGTAAATAATAATGTGAAAAAGAAATTAAATGTTGGACAAAGATGAAAAACTACGCTAAGCTACTGCTTACACAAAAAAAGTGACTTGCGAACTGAGTGTTAACCTATAACCAAACCAGGTTTAGCTCACTACAAAACAGTATAGTTTCTCTATTCTAAACAACATATTATGCCTCATAACCAAAGTTAGTAGTTAGTAACATCAGTTCGCAAGTCACTATTTTTGGATATTAACATTTTTATCGGTGTTGTCGTAACAAAAACTTGAAGGGCGTTGTGATTTTCTATGGAAGACAGCTCTACAAATATGCACCTGACGATTATCCAACAGCAAATAACAGAACTTAGCAATGTAGAGTCATTATTACGTCGGCGTACCTACTTCCATTCAAATCCTATTATCACTAAAGATTCCCATCTCGTATCGTAATCCCTGATCGGAATTGATAAATTACGTAAAATAACTTTGCTAACGCATGTTTTTTCGATTATAGTCCGTTTTTGTAGCCAAATATATTTCTTTTTCAATGAAAGCGACACAAATTGATTAATTGGTAATGTATTATGATATCTGACAGCTGTTATCAGATACGATATAGGTGCGGGATTAATGAGAACACAAAACTAGGTATCTATTGATAACGCTGCAATGATTTTCGTTTAATTGTTTTGGACACGATTGCGAAATTTGGAAGGACTTTTGGGAAATTAGGACAAAAGTGTTTTTCGTTTTTTTAGCGACATTGGGCTATTTTGTCTTGTACTTGTACTCTGTAGTTAATCGGTTAGAAGTAATAAATAGTGGCATCATATCGACTATTACACAATAAAATACAGACAATACAGTTAAAAATACGTAATAGCAAAGTTCGTACCTATCAATGAGTAAGGATCTAGAGTACTTAACTATGTCATAAAAAGCAGTTATCCGGACTTCACCACAGGATATTTAATGTACAGTTAACAGCTCATCAGACTATACACTTTTGCTGCAAAATAGCATCTATTACAACGACATAGAATACTTCAGTGTCTAACTTGAAGTGCTGTCGTCTGTACCTAGTTAAAAAGAATCCCCTCGAATCACAGGAATTTCACTAAAACCACAAACGTGACTGATACCCAAATATAGTTTTTTCGTTCACCTGTCGT